AGGGCGCTTATATATAAGCGCCCTGCTAAATACCGACTGTGAAGTAATTCGAGCGTTGTTGTGCGGATGGACATAAATTTGATATTATAACATGCTCTCAAATAGTTGGACAAGACGCTACTGGAAACACGTTTATTTTCTCTATTTCGTTAATATAAAGTTCATAAACACGAATTGAACACCCGCAATTATTCTTTATCCGAAAGTAGTAGAAAACACATCACAGTAAAAGCAACAGCTGCAAGCCTGCACCCGCGGCCGACAGTGAAATTCGCGTTGGATGGTTGGCGTAAATTTGATATTGAGACTCTCTCGTTAGGCAATGCGTTCATCAATTGCCCCATATGCCTTGCATACAACCGCGGCTCGATACTGACAATAAAGTTTGACAATAAATCAAGTTAACGTTATTTTGAGAATCAACAATCAACATGCTACCCTCGTACTAGCTACTAATTGTAGATCGTTGTGCATCAATACATTTTAGTTTTTAATAACTTATAAGTGCCTAAATGATTTGGTTCCAGTATATCTAAGTGATTATTTTGTTAACAGCAGAAGATTAAAAATATCGAGATAAAGATATAAAGAGATTATCGTTTATCATGTTACTAATTATTAAACCTTTCCAAAAAACCTTTGCATTTTCGTACACAGAGTCCTTGATTTGAATCCGGTTTTGCCTTATTTCGAGTCCGGGTTTTCAAAAGTCAAGTCCGGGTTTTGTTAAACACGAGTCCGGATTTTCTTCGAGTCTGGGTCCGGGTTTTTCTCGAGTCCGGATTTTCTTCGAGTCCGAGTCCGGGTCCGAGTCCGAGTCCGGTCCGGGTTTCGAAGTATGCCCTCAATTGCGAGTGGAAATTTACCAAAACTTGATCGCTTACCCATGTGTTGCGCCATCATCAAGCGACTTAAATTTGAATCCCAAATGAAAATAATTTCAACACTCAGATTTGTAGACAATAGCTTTACATGCCATTGGAATGGTGGATTTTTTCAATCCGATCGTATTTGGCTATTTTTATAACTGAATAGACGTAATATATAATGCACCATAACATGTTGCAGTGGGTAGTCCACTCATATGGCCTGCTCGCAGCTAATTGACAATAGATTAAATTATGAAGAACATATTGATCGATTATGTTGGAAACTCTCGAAACAGCTTGGCCTTCTCAAACACATTAGTCCGTACCTCAAGAAACAGCAAAGGGAGTTGTACTTTAATAGTGTTATAAAGCCTACGATGATGTACGGTAACTAGTGTAATCTGCATGGGATAATTGCAATGGTGAATGTTTTCAAAGAGTATTGAAACTTCAAAAGCGGGCAGCCCGGATTATTTTGGATGCAGAAAAGATGGCACCTTCAATTGTTATGTTTAACACTCTAAATTGACTTCCTTTTACGAAGGGGTCTTTGATCAAGAGAATAATGTTAGCGTATAAGGGTGTAAATAGTCTTATAATACTCCTAGCTATCTAAATTCACTTTTAGCGCGAAATTCAGACTACCCTGGGTACCAGAGCCTCTTATGAAGTGAGCAGACAGGCATAGTAGGAATACACGTTATTCGAATTTCAATATGCTATGCCCAATTTACAATCGTAAAACAGAAGGAGGCAGAACCTTCACTGTAAGAACAATTATAGACTGGAACAATTATAGACTGGATTAACAAATTAGATTTGAACGTTAGAAGTATACATTCTGCTTTTAGTTTTAGGCGTAGTATTTATAAACAGTTTTTAGATGATCAAAAGTATGCAAATAGGTTGCAGCGTTAGGGTCGTGTTTTAATAACTTTAACTTTAAATAGGGACTGTGTTTCCAATATCTTAAATTTTGTAAATTTTGAGGGCCACAAGTTTATCAGTTTCTTACTGTCACGTGTTTACCCTCAGTAAATAAAGCCTTTCACTTCACACGAACAGGCTATGTAGTGGGTTCCGGCAAGGAGAATGTGTAGACCAACACCAAAAAGATCAGTAACAGAAGGGCCACTCCGCGATGCAACGTGTCCTCGTTTTTTTATGCACAAATATGCAGTTCACTGGCCAGAAGGCGGAGCAGCCAGCCAGTACAGCGTGTTTATTTGCCAGAAAATGTCATTGGCTAGGAAAATGGCGGCCAACATGCGTAATGCGACATGCACGAGGACACAAACTTCAAAGCTTCCGTTACTGGTCTTCTGTTACTGGTCTTTATTCTGTGCCAAAAACAACGCAAATTCTGCGAATGTTGAACGCAAACAACAGAAATTGTACCATTGTGAACGCAAATTATCATACAGCCTACCTGTTAATGTCCGTCCAGCATTGAATTCACTCAGAAATGTTGGCAACATGACGCCAAAGTTAAACATAATCCCCATCGCAAGTGTATTTATTATGAAAGAACATGTACAAATTATCATTCCTTTATACACCGTACATGCTTCTATATTAGCCATTAAATCTTATATTTACACTTTATTAGTTCAAGGAAGTATATTCGACGTACATTAAAGGGCGGACAAATAGATAAAAATATTGCAGCTCTTGCTTCAACTTCGTTGCTCTTGTTTCACAAGGTTGAGTTCGTAACCCGAGGGCACAGACGGTTACCAGAGCTGAAGGACATGGACGTCTCAACTTGCGTTAACAGACATTTTAAAGTAATGTCATAGAGCCTGTGAGCAGGCTATGTCCGTGGGTGAGTTTATATTTCATTTATAGATTATTATTACGTTAATTAGGCCTTGAGGTGAGACAGGTGAGTTATATATATTTCATCAGATTTTAATATGTGGATGAGTTATTTCATCACCGGATTCTATCAGGTGAGTTATTTCACCAGATTCTACCATGTCGGGTGAGTTATTTCATCAACTTATTACGTAGAGGCGACAACAAGAACTTCATTGTTTTGGAGCAAAAGGAGTTCTACTAAGTCATTAGCTATAGTCGTTAGGTAGTTGTAGCTACGACAGCACTGCGCATGAGTGCATCAGTTGCAGTACTGCTCATGAGGACCGCCGAGCCCGCGTTTCTCTTCTATCCGTGGAATGATCTTTTTCTTCCAGAAAGCAAGACTTGTTCAATTCCTCTGAAACAAATAAGTTTAAAATTTATTGTATTTTGATATTGTTCTATTCTTTTCCTTTTTTTAGTGTGAAGTTTCTTCGAAACTTCACAATATTGTGATGACTGGGGGGAAATTCAAACGAATCAGTCATTCAGTCAGTCATACAGTAAACTTTCCGGGGGGGGGGGGGTGTACGTAATTTTTATAGTGATTTATTTTGTACTTAGTCAGTGCTTCGAAGATTATTTAGGCAATTTCAGTTGTTTTATTTAAATATTCTTTTATCCTTTTGCCAAGTTCACAATAATTTCGAGGAAGGTAGTCCTGGACAAAATTTTAATTTTTTTTTGTTTTGGTTTTTTCAGAAGTATTTTTGTTGGGAATGATAAAGTATCACTCCCTGATCTCATCAACAAAGATTTCATATGTGTTGTTGCCATGGTTATCGAGACACGCCCTTCGATAACCTAAAAAAATCCCTTTTTTGGGGGCAAAATTACCACAGCAGTAGTTGATAGAAAAATATGAAAATAGGTTTAAGTTAAAACTAATAGGTCTAGCAATAACCTAAACCTAAAAAAAAATGAAATTTATTGATAACAATGAAAAGATCATAATTTGTTTCATAATGAAGCCTAAATTCAGGTCCGTTAATTAAATTAAAATATTCATATAAATTATATTTTTACCTTGGATGACATTTTTGAGGTTTAGATTTGAGATATATTCACAATAGTGAAATGCTGAAAATTTGAACGAATTAGCACAAATATTGAATGAGATATTCTTCCCCAAAGTCTGAGACATGTCAATTTGTGAAAATTGAGACTAAAGTTTCGAAACAGCTTTCATTGATGAGCATTTTATTTTCACAAGCCTATATAAAGTCTGACTGTATTTAAAATTCTCCTGCATCATAGGTTTTTCCTTCTTTTTGTTCATTTTTGTCCCCTTGTTGTTTTCTCTTCCCCCTCAGTATCTTTCTTTGCTTTTTATTTTTATCCTCTGACTTATAGTTTGCCTTCTTGATGCGAAGTCGGTCAGTTTCATTCACACCAGCATGACAAAAGGATCCTGGTTTCACTCCAAGAGCTTCAAACACTTTGATGGTTGCCTTGCTGCCAATATTAAAATGAGCAACAGCATCATAAACTCCCAACTGGAATGAATCAGTTCCAACAAACACTGTTTTGGGAACCCTTTGCCAAATCATACCGTTGAATGCCTCATTCTGATTCTGAGTCTTACCATCAAGACACTTCCTAAGAAGTTCTTTATCACTGAGCCTGGCATATACAGGCTTTATCTGTGTCGTAACTTCCAAAGGTAAACCCTTGCCATGTTTATATGTGGTTGTTCCATTTGCCTTATCGCGCTTGTAGCCACACCAGCTATCCTTCCCGTCTGGACAATGTGTATGCAATGGCTTCTTATCATTGGATGCACAGTGCCATAAGCTTGCAAAGCTTGCAACCACATCACTTTTCATTGCCTTCAAATTCCCACTGTTACTCCTTATGGCAATCCCATAATAGTTCTGGAGTTTGTCTATCATGTTGTCTGTCAGTTTCCCTTTTCTACCAAGGCCTTTTGTCTCCTTTTTCAATTTACGCAGTGCCGTTCCAAGTCGTTTCTGCACATGCCCAACACATTCTTTCTTCTCAACAACAACACCATGATCTTTCTCATAAACATGTTCCACAGCTGTAAAACTTTTACTATCCCCATCTCCATAAAATTCGTTATACTGAAGACCATAACTGCTTACTGAGCGGCCGAAAATTCGTTTAGCTTCTTCGGGTTCCATGGCAGGTGCTGATCCACTATAATTAGCTTTGCATTTATCTTTGTGTTCGGCCTTCCATTCCCTATGTTCTGAGGTATCGTCATCATTTTCATGTTTTTTGCAATTCTTGCACACTTTGCTCAATGGCTCAACATCTAAAATCTTCCCAGTTTCCATTGAAATTGCAGTGACACATCCATGCAAGGAGGAGAAACCCCTCCTCGATCTGCCATGTCCCATCACACGACACACCAGTTTTTACAATTTCTTCAATATTCCGGCTTTTGGAATTAAAAATTTCCTCTGCAGCATCTTTGGTGGTTTTCTCAGCAACGTCCTTAACAGCACGTAGGATTGCTTTGGTGTGATCGTTATATGGCTTTGTCCCTACTGGTGGTGGCATGTTCATGGTCCAACAAAACGATTCATTGCTGACAATCCACAACCAATTGATCGCATTGCATATACCATTCTACGATTGATTTCAAAAGTATAGCCCATTTTTTTAGAGGTATAAAATGTTTGAGTCCATCCACATGATTTGCAGGTGAGAGACAGACATGAGGCACAACCAACTCGTTTTGAACTGTCGTCCAGAAATGTCAACTGGCAGTTAA